GGCTCCTGCATGAAGAGGAATGGGCTCGTTCACGGGGAGGAATGGGCTCCTGCACGAGGAGGAATGGGCTCCTGCATGAGGAGAAATGGGCTCCTGCACGAAGAGGAATGGGCTCCTGCACGAGAAGGAATGGGCTCCTGCATGAGGAGGAATGGGCTCGTTCACGAGGAGGAATGGGCTCGTTCACGAGAAGGAATGGGCTTGTTCACGAGGAGGAATGGGCTCCAGCATGAGGAGGAATGGGCTCCTGCACGAGGAGGAATGGGCTCCAGCAGGAGGAGGAATGGGCTCGTTCACGAGGAGGAATGGGCTTGTTCACGAGGAGGAATGGGCTCCAGCATGAGGAGGAATGGGCTCCTGCACGAGGAGGAATGGGCTCATGCATGAGGAGGAATGGGCTCGTTCACGAGGAGGAATGGGCTCGTTCACGAGGAGGAATGGGCTCCAGCATGAGGAGGAATGGGCTCCTGCACGAGGAGGAATGGGCTCCTGCACGAGGAGGAATGGGCTCCAGCATGAGGAGGAATGGGCTCCTGCATGAGAAGGAATGGGCTCGTTCACGAGGAGGAATGGGCTCCTGCATGAGGAGGAATGGGCTCCTGCATGAGGAGGAATGGGCTCCTGCACGAGGAGGAATGGGCTACTGCACGAGGAGGAATGGGCTCCTGCATGAGGAGGAATGGGCTCCTGCACGAGGAGGAATGGGCTCCAGCATGAGGAGGAATGGGCTCCTGCACGAGGAGGAATGGGCTCCAGCATGAGGAGGAATGGGCTCCTGCATGAGAAGGAATGGGCTCGTTCACGAGGAGGAATGGGCTCGTTCACGAGTAGGAATGGGCTCGTTCACGAGGAGGAATGGGCTCCTGCCTGAGGAGGAATGGCTCGTGCACGAGAAGGAATGGGCTTCTGCACGAGGAGGAATGGGCTCGTTCACGAGGAGGAATGGGCTCGTTCATGAGGAGGAATGGGCTCGTTCACGAGGAGGAATGGGCTCGTTCATGAGGTGAAATGGGCTCCTGCACGAGGAGGAATGGCTCGTTCACGAGGAGGAATGGGCTCCTGCACGAGGAGGAATGGGCTCCTGCACGAGGAGGAATGGGCTCCTGCACGAGGAGGAATGGGCTCCTGCACGAGGAGGAATGGGCTACTGCACGAGAAGGAATGGGCTCCTGCACGAGGAGGAATGGGCTCCTGCACGAGGAGGAATGGGCTACTGCACGAGGAGGAATGGGCTCCTGCATGAGGAGGAATGGCTCCTGCACGAGGAGGAATGGGCTCCAGCATGAGGAGGAATGGGCTCCTGCACGAGGAGGAATGGGCTCCAGCATGAGGAGGAATGGGCTCCTGCATGAGAAGGAATGGGCTCGTTCACGAGGAGGAATGGGCTCCTGCATGAGGAGGAATGGGCTCCTGCATGAGGAGGAATGGGCTCCTGCACGAGGAGGAATGGGCTACTGCACGAGGAGGAATGGGCTCCTACATGAGGAGGAATGGGCTCCTGCACGAGGAGGAATGGGCTCCAGCATGAGGAGGAATGGGATCTTGCACGAGGAGGAATGGGCTCCAGCATGAGGAGGAATGGGCTCCTGCATGAGAAGGAATGGGCTCGTTCACGAGGAGGAATGGGCTCGTTCACGAGTAGGAATGGGCTCGTTCACGAGGAGGAATGGGCTCCTGCCTGAGGAGGAATGGCTCGTGCACGAGAAGGAATGGGCTCCTGCACGAGGAGGAATGGGCTCGTTCACGAGGAGGAATGGGCTCGTTCATGAGGAGGAATGGGCTCGTTCACGAGGAGGAATGGGCTCGTTCATGAGGAGAAATGGGCTCCTGCACGAGGAGGAATGGCTCGTTCACGAGGAGGAATGGGCTCCTGCACGAGGAGGAATGGGCTCCTGCACGAGGAGGAATGGGCTCCTGCACGAGGAGGAATGGGCTCCTGCACGAGGAGGAATGGGCTACTGCACGAGGAGGAATGGGCTCCTGCACGAGGAGGAATGGGCTCCTGCACGAGGAGGAATGGGCTACTGCACGAGGAGGAATGGGCTCCTGCATGAGGAGGAATGGGCTCCTGCACGAGGAGGAATGGGCTCCAGCATGAGGAGGAATGGGCTCCTGCATGAGGAGGAATGGGCTCCTGCATGAGAAGGAATGGGCTCGTTCACGAGGAGGAATGGGCTCCTGCACGAGGAGGAATGGGCTCCTGCATGAGGAGGAATGGGCTCGTTCACGAGGAGGAATGGGTTCGTTCACGAGGAGGAATGGGCTCGTTCACGAGGAAGAATGGGCTCGTTCACGAGGAGGAATGGGCTCCTGCCTGAGGAGGAATGGCTCGTGCACAAGAAGGAATGGGCTCCTGCACGAGGAGGAATGGGCTCGTTCACGAGGAGGAATGGGCTCCTGCACGAGGAGGAATGGGCTCCTGCACGAGGAGGAATGGGCTCCTGCACGAGGAGGAATGGGCTCCTGCACGAGGAGGAATGGGCTACTGCACGAGGAGGAATGGGCTCCTGCACGAGGAGGAATGGGCTCCTGCACGAGGAGGAATGGGCTACTGCACGAGGAGGAATGGGCTCCTGCATGAGGAGGAATGGGCTCCTGCACGAGGAGGAATGGGCTCCAGCATGAGGAGGAATGGGCTCCAGCATGAGGAGGAATGGGCTCCTGCATGAGAAGGAATGGGCTCGTTCACGAGGAGGAATGGGCTCCTGCACGAGGAGGAATGGGCTCCTGCATGAGGAGGAATGGGCTCGTTCACGAGGAGGAATGGGTTCGTTCACGAGGAGGAATGGGCTCGTTCACGAGGAAGAATGGGCTCGTTCACGAGGAGGAATGGGCTCCTGCCTGAGGAGGAATGGCTCGTGCATGAGAAGGAATGGGCTCCTGCACGAGGAGGAATGGGCTCGTTCACGAGGAGGAATGGGCTCCTGCATGAGGAGGAATGGGCTCGTTCACGAGGAGGAATGGGCTCGTTCACGAGGAGGAATGGGCTCGTTCACGAGTAGGAATGGGCTCGTTCACGAGGAGGAATGGGCTCCTGCCTGAGGAGGAATGGCTCGTGCACGAGAAGGAATGGGCTTCTGCACGAGGAGGAATGGGCTCCTGCACGAGGAGGAATGGGCTCGTTCACGAGGAGGAATGGGCTCGTTCACGAGTAGAAATGGGCTCGTTCATGAGGAGAAATGGGCTCCTGCACGAGGAGGAATGGCTCGTTCACGAGGAGGAATGGGCTCCTGCACGAGGAGGAATGGGCTCCTGCACGAGGAGGAATGGGCTCCTGCACGAGGAGGAATGGGCTCCTGCACGAGGAGGAATGGGCTACTGCACGAGGAGGAATGGGCTCCTGCACGAGGAGGAATGGGCTCCTGCACGAGGAGGAATGGGCTACTGCACGAGGAGGAATGGGCTCCTGCATGAGGAGGAATGGGCTCCTGCACGAGGAGGAATGGGCTCCAGCATGAGGAGGAATGGGCTCCTGCACGAGGAGGAATGGGCTCCAGCATGAGGAGGAATGGGCTCCTGCATGAGAAGGAATGGGCTCGTTCACGAGGAGGAATGGGCTCCTGCACGAGGAGGAATGGGCTCCTGCATGAGGAGGAATGGGCTCGTTCACGAGGAGGAATGGGTTCGTTCACGAGGAGGAATGGGCTCGTTCACGAGGAAGAATGGGCTCGTTCACGAGGAGGAATGGGCTCCTGCCTGAGGAGGAATGGCTCGTGCACGAGAAGGAATGGGCTCCTGCACGAGGAGGAATGGGCTCGTTCACGAGGAGGAATGGGCTCCTGCACGAGGAGGAATGGCTCGTTCACGAGGAGGAATGGGCTCCTGCACGAGGAGGAATGGGCTCCTGCACGAGGAGGAATGGGCTCCTGCACGAGGAGGAATGGGCTCCTGCACGAGGAGGAATGGGCTACTGCACGAGGAGGAATGGGCTCCTGCACGAGGAGGAATGGGCTCCTGCACGAGGAGGAATGGGCTACTGCACGAGGAGGAATGGGCCCTGCATAGGGAATGGGGGCCCTCCAAAAATTTCTCCACTAAAAATTCTTCCCCACAAATTTCCACCTAAAAACTTTTCCTTTCATAAAGAATGGCTCTTTCCCAGGAGGAATGGGTCCTGCCAGAAATCTCCTCAAAAAATCCTTCCAAAATTTCTTTTTTCCAAAACTCTTCCAAAAAATCTCTTCCAAAACTCCTGCCCCCCCCAAAAACTCGGGCCCGGAAAGGGAAGGGGCTCCGACAGGGGAAGGGCTCGTTCACGAGGAGGAAAAAGGGCTCCTGCCGGAGGGAATGGGCTCCTGCAGAGGGAGGAAAAGGGGTCCGCACGAGGAGGAATGGGCTCCTGCACGAGGAGGAATGGGCTATGCCAGGAGGGAAAGGGCTCCTGACGAGGGGGAATGGGCCCGCCGAGGGGGAAGGGGGACTGCACGAGGGGAATGGGCTCCTGCTGAGGAGGAATGGGGTCCGCACGAGGAGGAATGGGCTCCAGCATGAGGAGGAATGGGCTCCTGCACGAGGAGGAATGGGCTCCTGCACGAGGAGGAATGGGCTCCTGCATGAGGAGGAATGGGCTCCTGCCTGAGGAGGAATGGGCTCCTGCACGAGGAGGAATGGGCTCCTGCACGAGGAGGAATGGGCTACAACACGAGGAGGAATGGGCTACTGCACGAGGAGGAATGGGCTCCTGCACGAGGAGGAATGGGCTCCTGCATGAGGAGGAATGGGCTCATTTGTTTTTAAAGTGGAGAGAGCGGGTCTTTTAAAGAACCCTCCACTAGACTTTTTTGGAGTCATATTCCAAACATGATCAATTCTTCTATTGAGCAACGCTTGATGGAAGCTGGAATATATGGGGAAGGAATCCACGATCAGTGAATCATCCATCCAAGCCCATAGGCATCGATGATGAAGGGATTTTAGAAAGCATCCGATTGGGACACCGTACAGGAAACAAAACAAAGCCTTTCAGACAGACAGACGGACGGACAGACGGCTGCTCTCACCTCTTTGACGTTCTGGTAGTTCTCGTTACCTTTCTGCATCTTCTCTTTCTTTGGGGACGGGTCCTCCGACACTGCCTGCAGGATGCAGAAGGTCAGACAGCGTTTGCTGAGCTCAGGATAAACTTTCACATTTCCTTTGCCCAGAAACAATTTTAACTTGCCCAGTATAATGTTTGACCTACTGAACGATTCAGAGGAAAATCAGCTCCTTGTTTCCGGTCTCACCTCCACTTTCTCCTTCTTTTCCTTCTTGTCCTTCTTGTCTTTCTTCCCCTCTCCTCCACTCAGGCCCTTTTTCTCCACCCACAGCTCAGACTTCTCCACCAGAGTCCTGAGGCGATCCAGGTCGGCCTTGATTAGCTTATAGTTCTCCACATCCTGAGCTGAGATCAGAAGCTGGACCTACAGACAGAAACATTCAAGGTTTAACTTTTCAGCTGCCAGAACCTGAAGACCATAAGATTCCCTCTGGGAGCTTTTCTCTGGGTGAAACTTCACATTATTAGCTAACCTGCTCATCTCACCTCTAAACATTGGATGGATTTATCCTTTTTAAAATGAAGAACTCCAGTTAAAAGATTAGGTTTAACCAGTGATCATAATCTAGTCCTTTAATAATCTAAGAAACTGTTTTTTTCTGCAGTCACTGAGACATTTGAAGGTTTAAACTAAAGCTAAGCTAGTCCTAAACACTGGTCTAGTCTCCATCCATACCCAGGTGTCCCTGCAGGGTTACAGGGGGCGGGGCTTCTGCCTGTCTCCAGTGTCATTGGCTGGAGCATCAGAGGACAGAGTGTATCCAGGGGCAGAGGAGGAGTCCATCAGTGGTCTCCATGATCAGCTGGCAGTAAGGAAGGAGGGAGGAAGAGGAAGCAGGATGCTCCCTATCATTGCTCCTTCAGCATAGGGACCTCCTCATAGCCACTGCTAGGAGCTGTACAGTTTCCCATAATCCCTTGTGTGTCAGATACCAGAGACCAGCCCTCTTGTTCTCTGTGGGAGCCAGGCTTCAGATGTTTGGGTTTTAGAACAGAGATGTTCCACACATGTGAGGACCTTTGGTGTTTGTAGTTCTTTACACCACTGCACTGTAGTCCTAATCTGACTAGCATCATCCTCTTATGTTTCTGAGCCATAATCACGTCCAGAAGGCTGAAGCAGCAACGCTTAAATTGAAAGGTTCTCTGGATTCAACGCAGCAGCGTGGAACTAGTTTCCTACCCGGGATAAACGATTCAACGTGAACCCAAGGAAGGAAGAGCAACAGGAACTATTGGGTAGGAACTAGGAGGTAGGAATTAGAAGGAGAGAAATATGGGCTAGGAACAAGGGGGAAGGAACTAGAAGTAAGGAAATATGAGGTAGGAACTATGAGGTAGGAACTAGGAGGTAGGAACTATGAGGTAGGAAATAGGAGGTAAGAATTAGAAGGTGGGAATTAGAAGGCGAGAAATATGGGGTAGGAACTAGGGGGAAGGAACTAGAAGTAAGGAGCTAGGAGGTAGGAACTAGGAGGTAGGAACTAGGAGGTAGGAACTAGGGGGTAGAAATTAGGAGGTGGGAATTAGAAGGAGAGAAATATGGGGTAGGAACTAGGGGGAAGGGACTAGAAGTAAGGAACTAGGAGGTAGGACCTAGGAGCTAGGAGGTAGGAGCTAGGATCTAGAAGGTAGGAACTAGAAGGTAGGAACTAGGAGGTAGGAGCTAGGGGGAAGGAACTAGAAGGTAGGAACTAGGAGGTAGGAGCTAGGGGGTACAGTTAACACCAGTCAGAGGTGTACAGTGATGGGTGGGAGGAACCTGGAGCTCCTAGAAGGAACCAAAGCTTGAGGTCTTCAGATCAGATCATGGAAACGTTACGCTGCGTTGAGACACCTTGTTGGTGGAGGAGTAACGGAAGGAACATTTAAAAATCTCTTTAAAAAGCTGAAATATCTTCAGAATAATTGATGCAGTAAAAGGAAATAATTGATGAGAAGGTCCAGAAGCACCAGAATGAATCTTTCTATATCAGAGCAGAGAGACGCTGAGAAACTCGTTGCTCCTGATTTCTCTCTAATCATAAACTGATCTGAAGAATGAAACCTGCAGGAACTTTGGTGACACGTTCATGGATGTTCACCTGTTTGAAGGTGTGCAGCACCTCCTGCCTCTGGCTGAAGTGCCTGAAGAGCAGCTGCAGAGCTCCAGACACCAGAGGAGCATAGTTGTGCATGGTGAGATGGACTAAGACTCTTAGGAACATGCGGCCTCCTTCGTCATCCACCTCCAGGATGCTGTTGACCTTCCTGCACACACAGACCTCCTCATCAGCCTGCGGGCTGCAGGAGCAAACAGGCAAACGTGGAGCTGCATACGTACCCAACGCCGAACATGGCCTCAGCTTGGTCTCCGATCTGCTGCAGGTTGATGGTAGCTGAGGGGGCGAAACACGCTGCAGTTAGAAGCTGCAGAGCAGATGATGTGCATGGAAGGGGGCGGGGCCTGTACCTGCCAGCTCCATGTTGGTGGTGGCATCAGCTTCAGCCATGGGATAAACCTCAACAAACTCCTTTTTAAAGACGGACAGCAGGAAGGAGAGGCGATAGTCCAGCCGAACGTTCAGGATGAACTGATGAAGCAGAAAATTCCGAACTTTTCAGGTTTTAAAACAATAAAACAAAGAAGTGATTTCCAGCTGATCTGTTTGATGTAAATATCAGAGGAATAAATGAATTATTTCCTGAATGTTTGGCTGTTTAATTAAATGGAAGCATTAATTCACAGTATTTCAGTTAGAAGGATCTTTAAATGGAGTTAAAATGGTCAAACTTTGAATGAATCTTTATTGATTGTCATGATGCTGACGGTTCGGGGAGTGAAAGGATCCAGGGAGCTCATCCTCTCTCTGCTGCATATTAGCTTTAATCAGCCGAGCAGCGAATCGCCACCTACTGCAGTAACACATGTTCAAACGCATCACTGCAGCGGCTACTAGATCCACAGCAAACGCTGAACAGATGCTGCCATTTTTCATGGTTCTTTGAGATAATTAGACTCTTTATTTCTAAAATATTGGTAAATGGATGTTTGTGGATCACGGTGCTTTTATTTCCAGCTGGTATAACTGCCCTTCAGCACAGCATCAGTTTATATTCACTAAATGTACTGAGATGGATGGAAATGTGACCCTCAGGTTCAGAATCAGTTTCAGTGTTGGCTGGATTCTTAGCAGAGCAGATAGAAATGAAATCAGTTTTACTGCTCTTCCTCCTCTGTTGGTTCGCTGATTGTTTCAGTATTTATAGAAGCAAACGTTCTGCTCTCTCTGCTTTTTCTCATAGTAGCTTCATCTGGTCTGTTCCTGTTTGGCTGTGACTCCATCCTGGAGAGAAATATCAGCTGTGCTGCTGCCATCAACACCTTTGTTTCTAGATGTTGGAGCTTGGCCTGTTTTCCAGTGTAGTCCTGTTTCTCTGACTGTGACTAACTGGATGTGCTCTCTTCATCCTCTGACATGGGAGCTGGCTCGGAGCTCGTCTGCCTGGCTGTGTGTTTCCTGGACGGGGCCGCCTGTGGAGCTGGTTGACAGCTGCCTTTTGTATCTATGCTTCTTTTTCTACGTCTGCTTCTGTCTCCTTGAACCCCAGTGGGCCTCAGCAGATGGCCGCTCACACTGAGCCTGATTCTGCTGGAGGTTTCTTCCTGTTCAAAGGGAGTTTTTCCTCTCCACTGTCGCTACAAGCATGCTTAGTGTGAGGGATTGCTGAAGAGTCAATGAGTCGATGCAATCAGCTGGTTTTCCTTAGATAGAAAACTTTGAATCAATCTGACTGGATGATCTGGTGAACTGGAAAGTGACCTGAGATGACATGATGTGAATTGGAGCTATGGAAATAAACTGAATAGAATTGATGGTATTTCAGTTTGTCATCGTTGTTCAACTTGTTGTTTTTGTAAGAATCAAGTTTAGCCTTTAGCAGGAAGTTTAAGCTCCAGCCCAGTCCATCTGCTGGATTAACCAGTAGATGGACTGGGCTGTAATACCCTGGATTAACCAGTAGATGGACTGGGCTGTAATACCCTGGATTAACCAGTAGATGGACTGGGCTGTAATACCCTGGATTAACCAGTAGATGGACTGGGCTGTAATACCCCGGATTAACCAGTAGATGGACTGGGCTGTAATACCCTGGATTAACCAGTAGATGGACTGGGCTGTAATACCCCGGATTAACCAGTAGATGGACTGGGCTGTAATACCCCGGATTAACCAGTAGATGGACTGGGCTGTAATACCCTTGATTAACCAGTAGATGGACTGGGCTGTAATACCCTGGATTAACCAGCAGATGGACTGGGCTGTAATACCCTGGATTAACCAGTAGATGGACTGGGCTGTAATACCCTGGATTAACCAGCAGATGGACTGGGCTGTAATACCCTGGATTAACCAGTAGATGGACTGGGCTGTAATACCCTGGATTAACCTGCAGATGGACTGGGCTGTAATACCCTGGATTAACCAGCAGATGGACTGGGCTGTAATACCCTGGATTAACCTGCAGATGGACTGGGCTGTAATACCCTGGATTAACCAGTAGATGGACTGGGCTGTAATACCCTGGATTAACCAGTAGATGGACTGGGCTGTAATACCCTGGATTAACCAGCAGATGGACTGGGCTGTAATACCCTGGATTAACCAGTAGATGGACTGGGCTGTAATACCCTGGATTAACCAGCAGATGGACTGGGCTGTAATACCCCGGATTAACCAGTAGATGGACTGGGCTGTAATACCCTGGATTAACCAGCAGATGGACTGGGCTGTAATACCCTGGATTAACCAGCAGATGGACTGGGCTGTAATACCCCGGATTAACCAGTAGATGGACTGGGCTGTAATACCCTGGATTAACCAGCAGATGGACTGGGCTGTAATACCCCGGATTAACCAGCACCTTACCTGCAATATCTCCAGAATCTTCAGTTTGGTGTCCATCACTGTCAGGTCCAGGTTGTCAATGCTGTCTTTACTTCCTCTCTGCCCCTCAAGCACAAACCCCGCCCCCATCCCTGCCCCTCTGGGTCCCGCCCCTGCGAAGGTGGACTGTCGCCGGTTGAGGACCATGGTGGACATCATCTGACCCATCCCATGTATGGTTCTCCGTACGTTCCTGCCTTTGGACACAGATTGGACGTAACTGAGATTAGCTATTATGGTTACCTATGATGTTTAACCATAATGGTGATCTATGAGGGTTAGGGTTACGGGAGTCAGACGCAGCACTGCTGATGCAGAGCGCTATGATCACTCCTCTGAAACAGTTTATTAACGCCTAAATTAACTTCAAATGTAGAAACCTGCCGGCAGAATATGTTGGCTTTTATTATCCTGCTGCCTGCAGTTTGTAGCACAGACCTGAAAAACGCTAACATCTACTTCCAGCCGCCACCAACAGGAGGGGAAAACCCTGGAGAGGCGAGCGGGCCTGAGGCAGCTGCTGCTGGGGATTCCCAGTGACAGCGCAGCGCCGGTATGTGGGGGTCTGAGCGGCTCCCACAGAGAAATAATCTTTGAAGGCAGGATGGTAATCTGGATGAACTGACTGCACAGACCATGTTTTCAGGAGGACTTTCTCACTTCAACATAGATTCTAACTACTTTCTACCCGCTGATCACAGCTAATATAGCTGCCATTGTTCCAGGCAGAGGAGGATAGAGTAGCTCCGCCCACCGCGCATCAGACCCACTTTACCGCCGCGCAGCTAGAGCAGCAAAGATGCTTCAGCCGCGTCAGAACTAAACTGGCACACGCATCAGAAATGAAGCAGCAGAGTTTCTGCCGCTCCTGCTGCAGGCGATCTGAACGTAGCATAGAGCTAGCCTGACTAATGCAAACAACTTTACTTCAACCTGAAGACGAAGCAAACGGTGGTTAGTCACCTTCTTAGAGACACACCTGTCTCATAACGACGGTCACATTTTCATTGATATTCAGCCTTGGAGGCATGAAGGGAAACGTCGGTCTGGCAGGTTAATGAGAAGCAGAGGAGGGTACCTGATCCTTCCTCTTGAAAGGGCAGGTTGGCGTGTGCAGGGTTTGGCCTGCAGTCAATGATGCCTAGGAGAGTCCGTGTCAGTCTGAGCAGCTCAAAGAAACTGTAGAAACCAAAGTATATCAGGTGCCTGGCTAAGCTCACCACCTGGAAGAGAGGAGAAGATGTGAGCGCAGCAGGAGGACGGAACGGGCGCCATGAGAGAAGCGGAGGGAAATACCTCGTATGTGAGTTTGTTTTTCTCCTCGTTGTGGAAGGGCAGCTCATCGTTCAGGACGTTGTTGAGATACTCCTCCATGAACACCATGGTGTTAGCAAAACGGTTCTTCTTGTTGTCTCTGCTGTCGTCCAGGTTTGAATCGTAACTGAGGAGAAACCGACAGCAAATAAAACATTTTATTAGGTTTAACCTTCGCTGTGATGACAGGACAGAAAAACAAAGACAACCGTTAAATCATCTCCTTTCACTACAGTCTTTAAACATCTGATGAGCAGCAAACTAAGATGAAAAACTTTAAGCTGAAGTTGGTGCATCATCAAAACGCTCCATCTGGACCGTATTCACAGATATAGAGAAGGAGGACTGCAGCGTCTAATCCCAGGTCTTTGGACTGTCTGATGTTCACAAGAGCATTTCACTAAAGTCTGAAGGTGGCTCACTCTTTGATGGTGATGGAGGTGGGAATCTCGGTCCACAGCCTTGCAAACTTGACGGGGGTCACCAGTTCTTGAGGGTCTCGGTCTACGTGGGCGTGCAACATGAGGCGGCAGAAAGAGGCGCGCAGGTCAAAGGGCAGCGTCTCATCCATCATGCAGAGGAAAATCAACTCCACGTCCAACTGCTTTGATATCTCGTCTATAGCCAGATACTGGCGGTCCAGGCACATCCGGGCGAAAAGCTTCAGCTGGTACCTGAGGGGGAACACAGACCCCATGACTCCAGTCTGCAAACCCTGGGACTGCTCCTCCGTTATGGGGAGACGTACCTGTAGTAGGTGAGGACGTTCTCATCGTGAGCGTTTCCTTGTCTTGCTTCCTGGGCCAGCTGCCTGATGCTCTTCTCCTGTTTCTCAAAGGTTTTATCCGTCCACATCAGCCAGACCTAAACGACAGGCCGACTTAAACATGGAGGAGTGATCTGCATGCGGCCGACCTCGTTACAGATGAGGGTTTTATTCACTGCTGCTTCCACTGAATGAGCGTCACAGGTGGCCTACCTCATCTTCGTCTCCATAGTCATCCATGCCCAGGAATTCTCCCCGAACGCCTCCAGGGGGCGCCTCTTTGGACAAACGCCGCCTGAAACCAGAGAGCAACGTTTAAGAAGGCTCCGTTTTCATCTGTCTCCCATTCATTCCTTATGGACGTGAGATTAAAGCTGATATAGTGGTGGCCTGGTGCTTAGAGCGTAGCAGCTAAGTCCCTGAGGTTCTGAGTTCCAGCCCCACTCCCACAGACTGCCACAAGACAACAAAGAGATTACTTCTTCTTCTTCTATTATTTACAGAATAACTCTAAAGAGCACAGACATCCACCAGGCTGCAGTGGTGACATCATCAACGCTACATCTCCTGTCAGACTGTGGCGATTTAGACCAGCGTCTGCCAGACGTACGGAAAATCTGGCAAAAACTCTGACATACGTTGGATACGTTACGAGCTCGCTGAAAGACGTTGAAACACGTCGACATACGGCGAGTCCCGGCGTCTGCCGTTCGTGGGCCGTCAGTTCCAGGTCGATTCTCTGATGGCTGACATCCGTTCAGTGTCACTTCCTCATCAGTCGAACCAGAAGAACCAGGCAATGACCCGGCATGGTGATTTTATTGACTAGCATAGCTTTTCTCAGCGCTACTGCTGAGCTCGTTAGTCACCAACATAAAACGTATTAAAAAGAGGCGTGGCCAAAAGAACCTGAAATGTTAGAACAGTAAATATAGTCATATGTTCATGTTACCGTTTTTATGTAGTTTTACTGTTTTCAAGGCTGAACTTTAAAAAAATGAAACTTTCTGGAGAGCTGTTCTTAACGAAATTATTTTTGTACACAAAATGACAAATTAAGTCTGTTTAAGTCTTTAGCGAGCTCCTACAGAAGCCGCGCTCTGGTCAGTGGATGGCTGCAGCATGACTTCCTGTCTGACCGCCGGCTGGCTGCTGCTCATCAGACCTTCGCTTCACTTTTCTCTCCAGAATTCGTGGGAAATGTAGAAATCGCTCAGACGGAGTTTGGAAAAAGGTTCGTTTGACGTTGATCTAATGCGTCTGCGGTCACAGCACGCAGAGTCAGCATGGATCAGAGAGCTGATTGGCTGATCCGACCAACACTGAGTAAACACAGTCATCGCAGAGAGAGGAGGTCAAGGTCATTCAGGTGGACGGGGAACCGGGAGACCTCAGGTATGGTCGCTTTATGGAGGGCAGACCAATAACGGAAAAATATATCAGCTAATAATATAGCAGAGCCCTAACCCTAACCATAGAAGACGATGCAAAAAGGTGGATAAGTTATTTTCTATCATGATGGTTGGTCTGCTGGTTTCTCCTCCGCTTTGATAAACCATCGAGTATTTAGAGCAGCCACCTCCTGCTCCCCCCCCCTCTTCTTTGACTCACTCTGTCTTGATGAGGATGTCCTGGTTTTTGGGATCCAGCACACATTTACAGATCAGTTCCTGGGTGACGGGGATGGCCACGTTGTTGGACACACAAAGGTCAGAGAGGTAATCCAGAAACCTGCAGAAACATGAGAAGACATGATCCAAAAGGGCAGATAGGACCTAACGTGAAGGTCAGCGGTCTGCTGGACAAAGCAGGAGGTGCAACGTAAACAGTCAAACTAGGCTGACAGCAGAGAAACATGGAACAGGAACTAATGATGCTTTGATTGCTTCGTCAGCTCAGTTCTCCTAGTTCAGAAGGGACCCATTGGTCCTCCCAGTCCTACCTGGGCTCTCGGTTCTTGCGCACCAGGCTGACGAAGGTCTCCACCTCGGTCTTGGTGATGTGCTTCTCCAGCAGCTTTCGGTTGTTATGAAGCAGAGCAGTGATGGTGTCTTCAGCCAGGATGTCGTACCCAATCTGACTCTGCATTACTCCAAACTGCTTGGCTATGTGCTCCTGCAGGGATGGGGGGCATCAGTGAAAATGCAGGAACCACCAGGTCACCCTTCCTCAACAGTGCAATGATGAGATCTTTGTTTGTGGCTCCACTCTCTCTGAACCACAGCAGACGCTGCAGCTGATCCGTCTACGGATCTCCATTCTCAGGAGCCCAGGATACTGCAGCTCCTCCACTGGAAGCAGGAGCTCTCCGACATCTGGCCTGTACCCTCCAGCCCAGGGTACAGGCCAGCCCGGAGGCAGAACCATGGCCTCAGACCTGAGGAGCTGATTCTCATCCTGGCTGAATCACACTCAAGCCAGCAGAACCATGTCATCTGTAAAAAGGCAGTAGAAGACCCGCTGGTCCCTGAGCCAGACCCCTGAGCCAGAGGAACGTCTACATGATGGCGGTTTGAACAGGGGAAAATCTACATAAAATAAAAATACTAGTAGAATAGTGTGGTTCTTCCCGGTTTTACATCCTCCCTCCTGGAACCTCCTGGAAGTTCCTGGAACCTTCTGCGGCTCCGGGAGGAAGCGGGCTGACAGACTAACCTGGTTCTTGCGGTAGTCGTCCTGGGAATGTCTCAGGACTCGGTAGCAGAGCCGGAACATGTACTGATAAGGGGCGTTCTTCTGGTCGGCCAGCTCTTCCAGATGCAGCAGAGGTCCCTCATCCTCCCCTCGGTCCTTGAAGGGAGCCTTTAGGATGCCGAAGATCTGAAGACACAGACAGACGGCAGACCTAGCTGATTCAGAACTGAAGATCTGTTCTGTGGAAAATAAGTTTACTGGTATGATAGTGGATGTTCGCAGTAGATCTAACCAGCCCTAAGGAGCAGAACTCTGAGCCACTGAGGAACCTCCCTCTCTGTCTCTGGTACCAGGTTGGTCTGCTGGTACCAGGTTCTGCTTGTGTTCAGTCCGGTCTGGTAGCAGACTGGCCAGATTCAGGTGAGCACAGGAACCGGCAGGAAACCCAAAAGCAGACCTCAATGTTTCCGGAATGATTCAAATAATTTCTCACCTCACACTACTGCTCATCCAGAGTTCTTCCTGGATCTTGGTCCACACTAACTGGGCTCTGAATGGTCCAGAACCAGAACCTTTACACCTGACGGACCCTAGAAGGTCCCAGAGGTCCAGTGACCACAACCTGCTGTCTAGGCCATGGATGAAGGTCCCAGAAACTTTAAAGCAGTAGCTCCAGTACTTTGGACCGGGTTACTGCAAGAAATTAGCCGTCTGCTTTAGGTTCTAACATTTCTTTGGCTTCAAAGGTCTTAGTTTTTCTCAGTAAAGATCTTTGAATTAATGTCTTTAACTTCTGGTTTTGAGGTCTCTGAGGAGGTCTCTGAGGAGATCTCTAAGGAGGTCTCTGAGGAGATCTCTAAGGAGGTCTCTGAGGAGGTCTCTGAGGGGAGGGGGCAGAGGAGGAACCAGAATGAAAGCTGATGGGAACCAGGACTAGGGTCCAGTTCATAACCATAAAACTCAGGGTAGAACCCAGAACTCAGTGTTGTTCTGGTTAACGAGGAAGATCTGGTTCATCTAGAACCAGCAGGAGCATCAATGGACCGATCAAGCAGAACCAGAGAAGCTCTGAGGTTCTGATGGTAGACACACGAGGAACGCTTTAACCCAAACCTCAGCCTCTATCCTCCTCCTGAACCCAGCTCATGGTCTGGGTTTGGTTCTGGACACAGACAGTTCTGTGCAGACGGCTCGGTTCCACAGATCCAACTTCTTCTGGACTTCTTTATGTTTCTGGCTTCAAGCAGCTGGTCAACCAACACCTAACAGAACAAGGGAAGTTCTTTGACCCAAATTGAGCGGACCTGCTTCAGGATGTTCTGCTCTCTCATCAGTTTCTGCCGCTCTCTGTTGGGTTTGGACATGACCACGTCCAGGACTGGCTGGCCGCTGTTAGAGACATCGGCCACGAAGAAAACCACGTCCTCCAGCAGCTTGATGGCGAACCTGGAAACACAGAGAGGCTGCATTCCAACTAGAACCAGAACACCCAGAACCATCCGTGGACCTCAGCGTTCAGAAACATACCTGCGGTCGTTCTGGCTTATAAACCCGGAGCTGAACTGGTCCACCACAGTGGCCAGCATGGCGCTGGCATCGTTGGCGAAGTCCAGATCCCGGATCTCCATAACGGGGACGGAGACGATGGCAAAGGCCTCCTTGTCCTCTTTGGTGGGACACGTCCCCAGCTGCAGGAAGAATCAAAAACCAAAAGCTTCAGGAAGGCTAGAACCAGGAATCTGTGGTCCCACTGATGAAGATTCTGGTGATTGAATGACCCACCATGAGTCTGATGGGACGCTCCTCGTCTATGTCGATGGGAACATTGGTGCTCTGGATCCAGGTGTTGGTGCAGAGATGTCTGAGCCGAACGTAAGAGTTTCTGGAAGAAAAGAAGTATAAAGGTTTCCCTCCAGCTTCCATCAGCAATCAGCTCTAGGTCAGAAGTTCTTCCTCAAACGATGAAGTCTGATCTATCGTCAGCTTTTCATTCTCAGCTGCTTTTTGTCTTGATTCAACTTTTTTTCCCTTTAGAGAGAAAGATCTGGAAATCAAAAACCTTCAGTCTAAACTGAAGACGGGGGTGGAGGGTGGGGTGAGGGGTGGCTGCTAGCCATGTGGGGGCGCTAGGCGCACCCGGCCTCAACCCCAAATACAGTCTTCAAGTGTCCTTACTCACCCCCAGGAAAACGGAGAGACTCCATATAACTGCAACTCACAGATTATCGCCTTGATGTTCCCTAAGCAGAGATCGGCCGATCCGCTGACCGGATGATATTTGAGAAATATGAACTCCAGAGGTTAGTCCTGTTTCTCTCCGCTCTGCGATCTAAGGGCTGTACATCTGTCCACCAGTCCATGATATGTCCACAGTCTTTCTATGGTCTTTCCATGGTCTGTCTACGGTCCCATCCATGGTCTACCCATGGTCTGTCTATGTTCCATCCATCGTCTGTCTACGGTCTGTTCATGGTCTGTTTACAGTCTTTAGGATTAGTGCTCAGTGTTAGTGCTCAGGGTAAGTCTTTAGGGTTATTGTTTAGGGTTAGTGGTCAGGGTTAGTCCTTAGGGTTAGTGGTCAGGGTTGTTGTTTAGGGTTAGTGCTCAGAGTTAGTCCTTAGGGTTAGTGGTCAGGGTTGTTGTTTAGGGTTAGTGCTCAGAGTTAGTCCTTAGGGTTAGTGCTCAGAGTTAGTGCTTAGGGTTAGTGTTTAGGGTTGTTGTTTAGGGTTAGTCTTGAGGGTTAGTCCTCAGGCTTAGTAATTAGGGTTAGTGCTCAGGTTTAGTCCTCAGGGTTAGTGGTCAGGGTTAGTGGTCAGAGTTAGTGCTTAGGGTTAGTGGTCAGGGTTAGTGGTCAGGGTTAGTCCTTAGGGTTAGTGGTCAGTGTTAGTGTTTAGGGGCTGGTTTGGGACTCGGCCTTAATGTGAAGCCTGAGCAGGAAGTTGCTGACCGTGGAACGAAGGAGTCTGTCTTCTGCAGAGTGGTTGGATCGAGCTCAAACAGCGAGGCGATGTCGTTTCCATGAGGAACCACCACCAGCTTGTACTTGATCCTTTCCCCAAGATGACGCTTGCTGCTCCGACTGATGTCCATCTGCTGAGACAGAAAGTACCACAAAGTCCTCAATCCACTCTTCTATTCTATGTTCCTCTATTCTATTGTTTTCTAATATCTTCTATTTTACTACTACCTAAACTGTTCTTTCTTATTTATTCTATTTTATTATATTGTTATTTAAATACTCTGATAGACTCTATTCTATCATATTCCAGAGGTTCAGTTCTTATCTATTGTCTTCTGTTCTAAGAACAAAAGGTGGGATCCAGCCTGGACACGTCCCAGTTTCATTTTATTCTATTCTTTTTTATTCTACTTTACTTCACTTTAATCTATTCTACTCTCTTCTGTTCTATCCTGTTCCTGTCATGATCATGCCTCTGACAGTTCTGACATGCCTCGTTTCATTCACCTGCCTAACTCTGCCTGGTTTCCAATTAACACTCATCTAATCCACCTGCTCCTGCTTCTTTATATACGGCTCAGTCCCAGCTATCAGGTCAGATCATTGAGGTTTAGGTCATTGCTGATGTCATAGTTCATGTTCTCGTTCTCGGGGGCCAGTGGTGAGAGAGGTTTTTAGTGTTTCGTTGAGTTCCTGTTTTCCTGATCCTGTTCTTTCTCTTATCCACTGAGCGGGTCCTGTTCCTGTCGTGGACCGTAGTTCCTGGTATCCTGACCTGTTCTGCCTCTCAACTACTGAGCTTGCTTGTTCCACAGCCCGCTCAGCTTTAAAGGAGCCCACTGTCTGTCTCAGCTGAATACGGGATCCTTCTGTCCTGTTCTTGATAGTTCTTTTCTATTATGCTCGTATCTATTATGTTCTATTCTATTCTTCTCCACTTAACCTTTGGTGTATCATTTTCTATTCTGTTTTGTTCTATGTCATCATATTGCAGTGATCAGTACTTAGAGAGGGAGGAACTCACAGAGGACAACAGCTCAGCGTTGTCACCTTTATATCCGGGATTCTCCTGCAACAGCAGAGAAATAAATCACAGCTATTAGCTGAACTCTAGGAGTGAAAGAGACGTTAGTGACTCCAGGACAGGAAACTCACAACTACTCAGAGGGAAGAGGAACCGGCAGCAGTTTGAGGTTAAAATCATCAGTTAGTCTTTATTAGGCTAAAGCTGAGGCCAAACCTTTTCTGTGCCTCTAGGCTGTAAAGATGCTGTGGATCACCGTCCAGCTCTGAGTTTACTAATCATGTATGTTAGGACTGTTTAGGACACAGAAAAGATCAGAGGTCCAGAGAACTGCTGATCCGATGAAGGAAAACAGGAGCAGAAGAAGAGCTCTGATGTTACCTGAGGGAACCCTTACCTCTGCAGCCAGGTAGTTTCCTGTAGCCAGGTGTTTGAACCTGTAGAGACTGTTCCAGTGGCCCGCCCCCCCACGGCATGGGTCATGATGGACAACCTGATGGACCAATCAGGACACAGAGAGAATTTAAGCTCCTCTTTGATTTCGGCCTTTTGGATGATGTCCCTCAGCGCTGCTTCTAAACCCTAACGCAGAAACACCTCAAAACTGAACTAAAATCTTTCTAACCACAAAAACACAATCTATATTTAACAAAAACTGTTTTTACGGGGAGTTTGCAGCTGCCACACAGAATGAAGAGTTACAGCTGGCAGCACATCCATGCATGCAACTAGAAGGAAGCAGTTTTTCACACTAAAGTTTCAGTAAAATCTGCAACAATAAACTGTAACAACCAAGCCTCCTAAATCACGGCGCATTGTAGGGCCGACTGCCCTAATGGGGCCCCATGCCTGGCCCCCATGGGGACCAGTGCTGCTTCAGGGATACATGCTGGGACTAAGGTGGGAACTGAGCTTAGCTTGGGGTCAGAGGTTAGGCAGTAGCCCATAGCGGATAGGGTCAAGGGTCACGCTTAGGCTGCAGGAATGCGTCCTCACAGGGATAGAGAGACCTGGCTGTGTGTACCTCGACCTCCCAGAGGGCGTTGGAGCTTGTGGCCGACGTGGCCGACTGCCTCAGGGTCGTTCTCAGGAACACGTGCAGCTTGCTTTTGTACTCGTCGCAGGTGAGAAACTTTTCCTGCTCAGCGTGGAACAAACGGACGACGTCCCCCTGGAAGAAGGAGACGGAGAGAGCGTCAGCAGCAGACCTTCCTGGAGTCCCCCTCAGGTCCACCCACCCCCCCCACCCCTAACCCCCCCACCCTCAGGCCTGAAGCAGCAGGAGCTTCTCTCTCTGACCTGCTTCTAGTTTCACTCACTCCTTTCAGGACCTCCTCTCTGTGGTCGCTGAACATCATGAACAGGTTGATCTTCCAGCTGGTGTTGCAGTTCACAGAGTTCACCTGCAGGGGGAGTCAGAGATGCATCAGGTTGGATCCTGTCTGCAGCAGCTTTAGGTTCATGCCGGGGACTATTTGAATGATTGTTTGGAGGGTTTGATTGTTTCTATTTGTTTTTATTAATTTTCTTTTCCTAGTTTGAATCCAGTTCTGCTGTTTTCTATCAGTGTTTCTGTTTATTTTCAGTCTTCAGTCGACGGTTGCCAAGAATCTCTAGAAAAACGGAATGGTTCCGTATTTAGAAACAGAATTAGCTGTCCCGTATTTAGAGGAAAAGGAACACACTTTGTCCCGTATCACTGTGAGAGTAAAAAAATGGTCAGTAAAAAGCTAATGGAAAACTAAGAATAAGGGCACGTTTAATACAAAACTTACGGTATACTTGTTCCCGTCCCTGTCCTGCATTGTGACCAATGAGCTGACAGCATATATGTAACGATCCAGAATCCCCTCATCCCATTGGTCGAGCCAAGTGTTGCTCACAGAGAATTTATCGGGAGACAACAGAGGAGTTTGGGGGACGATCGGATGAATTTAAAGGAAAAGGAATCCTGGCAGTCCAAAGGAACAGCAGGGAGGTGGATGGAGGTTCTCCAGGCTGCTGACCTTGGTCCTCAGATTCCATCTTCCACTGGTTTTATGGAGGATTTTCTCCCTAATGAAGAACAGATGGACTGATGGGCAGAACAAATGTTCCACTGAATGAATTAAAGCTGAGCTTATTTTCAGCCTCAATCAGAGTTTTACTCTGCATCTCTGAAAGACAAATCCTGACGGCTGCAAGAGCTCAGAGGAAAGACGAGTAAAAAAGTCGACTATCGCTCATAATGTGGCATTAAGCTAATGATAAACTTTCTGTTTTCCAACTGTAGCCAAAAGTTATTGCATTAAAGGCACAAATATGTTTACAAGTTTGCTGTTGCAGCAAAAACCTGCACTATTTATTTATTTATTTATTTATTGTTTTATATAAATTTTTAGATTTTGAAGTGAAGCAGGACAGGCTGAGGTTTAAGATACTTATTTTATTCAGCAAAGTTTGTTATTTTGTATAAAAGTGAATTATTGGATAATATTTGTTTTCCATGTGTTCATGTCGCTCACAGATATGCATCTAATTTAATGCAGATTTAAGTCAAATAGTTACAAAAATAATTTGACACACAAAGGGGGCTGAAATAAAACCACCACCCCAGGAGGGGTGAGGGCAGTCGGGTCAGCTGGGACCCTGCTGGTGTCTCTGCTCTCACCTCTTTGCATCCTGGATGGTCGCTCAGTTCATAGTCGGAGGCGTGCAGCGGCTGGCCGGCGTTCACCGGGTTCAGGATGACTTTATCGCCCACCACCACCTGCAGAACAGACAAAACTATAAACTTTGTACTCTAATTATCCCAGAGGGAAATTCCCTCTCTGCATTTAACCCCTCCCATTGGGAGGGCAGTGGGCTGCCATTGTACGGCGCCCGGGGAGCAGTGGGGGGTTAAGGGTCCTGCTCAGGGACCCAGAGTGACAGTCTGTGTGAGAGGGGGATCGAACTCACAACCTCAGGATTCAAAGCTTCATGCCCCAACCACTAGACCGCCACTCCCCTTACAACACCAGGAAGACCACCGCGAGAAACATTAAAATATAAAAAAAAAAGCAGAAACAATGTGTCCAAAGATTAACAGCCAGATTAAAAAAATGAGTCTTTAATCTGGATTTAATTTATTTATGAATCAAATCAGGTTAAAAAGACGAATGAAGGAAAACTTTAAATATTCGACTGCAAATTAGGAGATAATAGAAAAACTAAAAGGTTGATTTTAAGAAATCTGAATTATGGCTGCCGCTGATTCAGCGGCAGCCATCTTGTGAGGGTCATGTGAGGTGTGTTTGTTTACGTTGTCTCCGTTGGCTCGGAGCTTCCAGAAGGGCTGGATGAAGAGCCAGGAGCCCTCGTTCCCGGTGCCGTCCAGCGTCACCCTCATGGCGTTCTTCTCCAGCAGAGCCGGCAGCCGTTTGTTCACCGTCAGGTACTTGTTGCTCTTCATGTGGAGCAGCTGAACACAGAGAGCACAGAGTTACTGGACGGCGTCAAGCCTCAGAGACGGAGGCTTAGAGGAATCTGGAACCAACCGGGTGGAAACAGCCGCTCCACCCTGATGACATCACAGCAGCTGCTCCACCCTGATGACATCACAGCAGCCGCCATATATTAGCTGCTCCACCCTGATGACATCACAGCAGCCGCCATATATTAGCTGCTCCACCCTGATGACATCACAGCAGCCGCCATAGAGCAGCCGCTCCACCCTGATGACATCACAGCAGCCGCTCCACCCTGATGACATCACAGCAGCCGCCATAGAGCAGCTGCTCCACCCTGATGACATCACAGCAGCCGCTCCACCCTGATGACATCACAGCCGCCGCCATAGAGCAGCCGCTCCACCCTGATGACATCACAGCAGCCGCTCCACCCTGATGACATCACAGCAGCCGCCATATATTAGCTGCTCCACCCTGATGACATCACAGCAGCCGCCATAGAGCAGCCGCTCCACCCTGATGACATCACAGCAGCCGCTCCACCCTGATGACATCACAGCAGCCGCCATAGAGCAGCTGCTCCACCCTGATGACATCACAGCAGCCGCTCCACCCTGATGACATCACAGCAGCCGCCATAGAGCAGCCGCTCCACCCTGATGACATCACAGCGGCCGCCATAGAGCAGCCGCTCCACCCTGATGACATCACAGCAGCCGCCATAGAGCAGCTGCTCCACCCTGATGACATCACAGCAGCTGCTCCACCCTGATGACATCACAGCAGCTGCTCCACCCTGATGACATCACAGCAGCTGCTCCACCCTGATGACATCACAGCAGCCGCTCCACCCTGATGACATCACAGCAGCCGCCATAGAGCAGCCGCTCCACCCTGATGACATCACAGCGGCCGCCATAGAGCAGCCGCTCCACCCTGATGACATCACAGCAGCCGCCATAGAGCAGCTGCTCCACCCTGATGACATCACAGCGGCCGCCATAGAGCAGCTGCTCCACCCTGATGACATCACAGCGGCCGCCATAGAGCAGCTGCTCCACCCTGATGACATCACAGCAGCCGCTCCACCCTGATGACATCACAGCAGCTGCTCCACCCTGATGACATCACAGCAGCCGCCATAGAGCAGCTGCTCCATCCTGATGACATCACAGCAGCCGCCATAGAGCAGCTGCTCCATCCTGATGACATCACAGCAGCCGCCATAGAGCAGCTGCTCCACCCTGATGACATCACAGCAGCCGCCATAGAGCACTATAATGGACTGATATTTTTAACGACGCATTTCAGCAGCTTTGTTTCAGACACGTTAAAAACGCCCTGCTCCCCTGACGCCGTAACCCCCTGACTTCCTGACACTGTGGGTGTGGCATTTATTAGAAAATAATTGTATTCAGTGAAATCAAAGAGGAGCTTCCCTTCTGGGATTAATGACGTGTTTGTTTAACTGCCTCCAGCATGGATCCAGGACTCTGCTCAGATTGCTCACATCAGGGAGTTCAACCCTGAGAATAGCTGCAGACCTGCTGCTGGTCGCCACCATCAGCAGCGATTAGCTCTGATGAGGGTCGGAATGAATCTGCTGAACTGAGCTGATGTCTGACCCAGAATGAAAAAGATCAAAGCTATCAGCAGGAGTTCTGGACCGGATCTGAGAAGGTTCTCCTCCCGGAACATGAGTTCCAGTTAAACCAGCTCAGGTTCCTGCTGCTGAGGGCTGCACCTTCTCCACACCTTCAGCTCACAAACACCTCACCACTGTCTTCAGCTGCGCGTCCCTCTGAGTCAATATTGACTCTAAGGCTGAAGGCGGGGCCTGATAAGAACTGGGCGAGTTCTGCTTGATGACTGTTCAGGTCTGGAGTCCAGCTGGATGTTTGGAACCACTGAGGGAGTCAGAAGCAGAGCTCCTCCATTAATGAGTGAATCTAAAGTGGGCGGATCTCATCAGTTCATTTATCAGCGGCCATTTTATCAGCCTCTCTATGAAGTGAACCTTTCTATAACATGAAGGGTGTTTCACATAATATCTGTAAACATTTTTAAGAAAACATTTTATCTATTCATCCAGTGTTTATTACAGCTAATAGTTCAAATATAATGAAGGTAGATCTATGATTAACAGACAGGGTATGTCGCTAGAACAGGTGGTTCTGGTTTAATGTTAGGAGGTGGATCCATGAAGGTCATGACCTCATCAAGCTTCTCCACCCGCGATGCTAACGGCTAGCATGGCTTCTTCTATCCTGTTCCATTCGTTTCCACTTTACAGGGAACCTGCACTGACCTTTGACCTTAGCAGGGAGGCTGCACTGACCTTTGACCTTAGCAGGGAGGCTGCACTGACCTTTGACCTTAGCAGGGAGGCTGCACTGACCTTTAACCTTAGCAGGGAGGCTGCACTGGTCTTTAACCTTAGCAGGGAGGCTGCACTGACCTTTGACCTTAGCAGGGAGGCTTCACTGACCTTTGACCTTAGCAGGGAGGCTGCACTGACCTTTGACCTTAGCAGGGAGGCTTCACTGACCTTTGACCTTAGCAGGGAGGCTGCACTGATCTTTGACCTTAGCAGGGAGGCTGCACTGACCTTTGACCTTAGCAGGGAGGCTGCACTGACCCTTGACCTTAGCAGGGAGGCTTCACTGACCTTTAACCTTAGCAGGGAACCTGCACTGACCTTTGACCTTAGCACGGAACCTGCACTGACCTTTAACCTTAGCAGGGAGGCTGCACTGACCTTTGACCTTAGCAGGGAGGCTGCACTGACCTTTGACCTTAGCAGGGAGGCTGCACTGACCTTTGACCTTAGCAGGGAGGCTTCACTGACCTTTGACCTTAGCAGGGAGGCTGCACTGACCTTTGACCTTAGCAGGGAGGCTGCACTGACCTTTGACCTTAGCAGGGAGGCTGCACTGACCTTTGACCTTAGCAGGGAACCTGCACTGACCTTTGACCTTAGCAGGGAGGCTTCACTGACCTTTGACCTTAGCAGGGAGGCTGCACTGACCTTTGACCTTAGCAGGGAACCTGCACTGACCTTTGACCTTAGCAGGGAGGCTTCACTGACCTTTAACCTTAGCAGGGAACCTGCACTGACCTTTGACCTTAGCAGGGAGGCTTCACTGACCTTTGACCTTAGCAGGGAGGCTGCACTGACCTTTGACCTTAGCAGGGAACCTGCACTGACCTTTGACCTTAGCAGGGAGGCTGCACTGACTGACTGGACGGGCCTACTGGTTCTGATAGGATCCATTTTCCTCAGTAGCTGGTAGGAGGACCTGCTGGTCTGTTTGGGTCCAGGACTCCTGGGAGCTTGGTAGAACCCATCCAGGGTCCAGCAGAGGTTCTGCTTCCTGTAGCGTCCCTCAATCAGCGGTTCTTAGTTCCAGGCTGAGGAGGACCAGCAGGACCAGGTCTGACTTCAACCCCCCATTCCGGGTTCCTGTGATAAGGACGGTAATAAACCCGTTCAGAACACGGATCCAAAGGTCGGTCTGAACGGACTTTGGTCCCATGTGGACCTCTGCTGAGTCAGCAGCCTGAACCCGAGGCTCCCTGGGGTCCCAGGGGGCCTGATGTTCTGCTGACGCCCTGCTGCTGTCCTCCTCTGGAGAGAAGCTCTAGAACCGAACCAGAACCAGACCGGTCCGGATTCCTGATGACTGCCTCCTTCTTTTAACAGAACATTCGGGTCAGAACTGCCTCCACCGATGGAGATGGAGCTCCTATTGGACCTGCTGCTGTCCTGGACCGGACCACAGAACCAGAAGGTCCTGGACCGGACCCACAGAACCAGCTGATCCTGGACCAGACCCACAGAACCAGCTGATCCTGGACCGGACCCACAGAACAATCTGATCCTGGACCGGACCCACAGAACCAGCAGGTCCTGGACCAGACCAGAGAACCAGCTGATCCAGAACCAGAAGGTCCTGGACCGGACCCACAGAACCAGCAGGTCCTGGACCGGCCCCAAAGAACCAGCAGGTCCTGGACCGGCCCCAAAGAACCAGCAGGTCCTGGACCGGACCACAGAACCATCTGATCCTGGACAGGACCCACAGAACCAGCAGGTCCTGGACCGGACCACAGAACCAGCTGATCCTGGACCGGACCACAGAACCAGCTGATCCTGGACAGGACCCACAGAACCAGCAGGTCCTGGACCAGACCACAGAACCAGCTGATCCTGGACCGGACCCACAGAACCAGCAGGTCCTGGAGCGGACCACAGAACCAGCTGATTCTGGACCGGACCCACAGAACCAGAGAGTCCTGGACCGGACCCACAGAACCAGAAGGTCCTGGACCGGACCCACAGAACCAGAGAGTCCTGGACCGGACCCACAGGACCAGAAGGTCCTGGACCAGACCACAGAACCAGAAGGTCCTGGACCGGACCCACAGAACCAGCTGATCCTGGACTGAACCCACAGAACCAGAGAGTCCTGGACCGCACCCACAGAAACAGAAGGTCCTGGACCGGACCCACAGAACCAGAGAGTCCTGGACCGGACCCACAGGACCAGAAGGTCCTGGACCAGACCACAGAACCAGAAGGTCCTGGACCGGACCCACAGAACCAGCTGATCCTGGACTGAACCCACAGAACCAGCTGATCCTGGACTGGACCCACAGAACCAGAGGGTCCTGGACTGAACCCACAGAACCAGCTGATCCTGGACTGAACCCACAGAACCAGCTGATCCTGGACTGGACCCACAGAACCAGAGGGTCCTGGACCGGACCACAGAACCAGCTGATCCTGGACTGGACCCACAGAACCAGGAGGTCCTGGACTGAACCCACAGAACCAGAGAGTCCTGGACCGCACCCACAGAACCAGAAGGTCCTGGACCGGACCCACAGAACCAGAGAGTCCTGGACCGGACCCACAGGACCAGAAGGTCCTGGACCAGACCACAGAACCAGAAGGTCCTGGACCGGACCCACAGAACCAGCTGATCCTGGACTGAACCCACAGAACCAGCTGATCCTGGACTGGACCCACAGAACCAGAGGGTCCTGGACTGAACCCACAGAACCAGCTGATCCTGGACTGAACCCACAGAACCAGCTGATCCTGGACTGGACCCACAGAACCAGAGGGTCCTGGACCGGACCACAGAACCAGCTGATCCTGGACTGGACCCACAGAACCAGGAGGTCCTGGACCGAACCCACAGAACCAGCTGATCCTGGACCGGACCCACAGAACCAGAGGGTCCTGGACCGGACCACAGAACCAGCTGATCCTGGACTGGACCCACAGAACCAGCAGGTCCTGTTGGGTTCCTGCTGTGACCATGACGCATGGAGAGGATGTTCTGATGACATCATCATCAGAGAAGCAGCCTAAACCCTGCAGAACCAGGAAGGTCCGGTACCTGTATGACGGTCCCGTACTTCACCACGTCTCCGTGGACCTTCTTGTTTTCCGTCTCGTTCTGCTTCTGCTCCAGGTTGGACGCGTGCTGCAAGGAACAGACAGAAATCAGCACAAAGTTCTGCTTCCATGTTGGTTCAGATCCAACATGGACGCCAGTGTGGATCCAGGAAGAAAGATGGAGGCCATGAGGCGGCTGACCTGCAGCTTCTGAAGCAGAACCACGTCAGCAATCTTGTCCTTCTCATGTTTGGCTTGTTTGGCTTTCCAGTACTGCTTCTGGGCCGAGTAGCGGCTCATCGGACACACCTTGAACAGGCAGTCTGCAGACACAACCGGACAGCGTTCTATAGTAACCAGGTAAAAATACTTCACTACTGTACTTGAGTATATTTTGGAGTACTTTATATTTTCCAAGAGTAAAAATTTTTTTGAGAACTTTCACTTTTATTTCACTACATTTACAACATTTTTTCCTTTTTTTCCTTCAGCTGAGAGTCGAAGTCTGTTTCTCTGAAGCAGGCCGGTTTGATCCGGGTCAGAACCGGTTCCGCTAACAGTCAGAGATGTAGATGCAGAAGCTTCCCTCCATCAGGCAGGTTCTGTAGAACCAGCCCAGATGGGTTCAGAACTGGGTCAGGATGCTGAATGTTTTATTTACCGCTGAAGGCCTCCAGGGGGAGCGACCTACTTCTAAACTGGACCAGATGAACGGCTTCCTGCTGGCGCTACGGCTCCCTGTAGGGCCAAAATGGACTCACATCAAAGGCTTCTTTCTTTGGCCTCCAGAACTGAAGGCAGAACAGATTCTTTTGGGTTTCCTGCTGCTGACCCAGGAACAGAGACCCAGCTCCCTGATACCAGCAGAACCACGGCTATGCCGAGAGAGGGCTGCTGCAGACGGGCTAACGTTAGCCGCACTGCAGCATTTAAAGTGGGAGGAGACATATAGAGATGTGTATGTGTATATATATATATATATATATATATATATATATATATATATATATATATATATATATATATATATATATATATATATATATACATATATATATATATATATATATATGTGTATATATATATATATATATATATATATACACATATATATATATATATATATATATATATATATATGTGTATATATATATATATATATATATATATATATATATATATATATATATATGTGTATATATATATATATATATATATATACACATATATATATATATATATATATATATATGTGTATATATATATATATATATATATACACATATATATATATATATATATATATATATATGTGTATATATATATATATATATATATATATATAAAGATATATATATATATATATATATATATAAAGATATATATATATATATATATATATACACATATATATATATATATATATGTGTATATATATATATATATATATATATATATAAAGATATATATATATATATATATATATAAAGATATATATATATATATATATATATAAAGATATATATATATATATATATATATAAAGATATATATATATATATATATATATATATATATATAAAGATATATATATATCTTTATATACAGTGGGGCAAAACAGTATTTAGTCAGCCACCAATAGTGCAAGTTCTCCCACTTAAAAAGATGAGAGAGGCCGGTAATTTTCATCATAGATATACCTCAACTATGAGAGACAAAATGAGAAAAAAAAATCCAGAAAATCACATTGTCTGATTTTTAAAGAATTTATTTGCAAAATATGGTGGAAAATAAGTATTTGGTCAGTTACAAACAAGCAAGATTTCTGGCTCTCACAGACCTGTAACTTCTTCTGTAAGAGGCTCCTCTGTCCTCCACTCGTTACCTTCATTAATGGCACCTGTTTGAACCCGTTATCAGTATAAAAGACACCTGTCCACAACCTCAAACAGTCACACTCTAAACTCCACCATGGCCAAAACTAGAGAGCTGTCAAAGGACACCCGAAACAAAATGATAGACCTGCACCAGGCTGGGAAGTCTGAATCTGCAATAGGTAAACAGCTTGGTGTGAAGAAATCAACTGTGGGATCAATTATTAGAAAATGGAAAACATACAAGACCACTGATAATCTTCCTCGATCTGGGGCTCCACGCAAGATCTCACCCCGTGGGGTCAAAATGATCACAAGAACGGTGAGTAAAAATCCCAGAACCACACGGGGGGACCTAGTGAATGACCTGCAGAGAGCTGGGACCAAAGTAACAAAGGCTACCATCAGTAACACACTACGCCGCCAGGGACTCAAATCCTGCAGTGCCAGACGTGTCCCCCTGCTTAAGCCAGTACATGTCAAGGCCCGTCTCAAGTTTGCTAGAGAGCATTTGGATGATCCAGACCATGACTGGGAGAATATCATATGGTCAGATGAAACCAAAATAGAACTTTTTGGTAAAAACTCTACTCGTCATGTTTGGAGGAGAGAGAATGCTGAGTTGCATCCAAAGAACACCATACCTACAATGAAGCATGGGGGTGGAAACATCATGCTTTGGGGCTGTTTTTCTGCTAAGGGACCAGGACGACTGATCCGTGTGAAGGAAAGCGAGCATCAGTATGGGGAAGAAAGGTGATTTGAGTGACTTTGAACGTGGCATGATTGTTGGTGCCAGAAGGGCTGGTCTGAGTATTTCAGAAACTGCTGATCTACTGGGATTTTCACGCACAACCATCTCTAGGGTTTACAGAGAATGGTCCGAAAAAGAAAAAACATCCCGTGAGTGGCAGTTCTGTGGGCGGAAATGCCTTGTTGATGCCAGAGGTCAGAGGAGAATGGCCAGACTGGTTGGAGCTGATAGAAGGGCAACAGTGACTCAAATAACCACCCGTTACAACCAAGGTGGGCAGAAGAGCATCTCTGAACGCACAGTACGTCGAACTTTGAGGCAGATGGGCTACAGCAGCAGAAGACCACACCGGGTGCCACTCCTTTCAGCTAAGAACAGGAAACTGAGGCTACAATTTGCACAAGCTCATGGAAATTGGACAATAGAAGATTGGAAAAACGTTGCCTGGTCTGATGAGTCTCGATTTCTGCTGCGACATTCGGATGGTAGGGTCAGAATTTGGCGTCTACAACATGAAAGCATGGATCCATCCTGCCTTGTATCAACGGTTCAGGCTGGTGGTGGTGGTGTCATGGTGTGGGGAATATTTTCTTGGCACTCTTTGGGCCCCTTGGTACCAATTGAGCATCGTTGCAACGCCACAGCCTACCTGAGTATTGTTGCTGACCATGTCCATCCCTTTATGACCACAATGTACCCAACTTCTGATGGCTACTTTCAGCAGGATAATGCGCCATGTCATAAAGCTGGAATCATCTCAGACTGGTTTCTTGAACATGACAATGAGTTCACTGTACTCAAATGGCCTCCACAGTCACCAGATCTCAATCCAATAGAGCATCTTTGGGATGTGGTGGAACGGGAGATTCGCATCATGGATGTGCAGCCGACAAATCTGCGGCAACTGTGTGATGCCATCATGTCAATATGGACCAAACTCCCTGAGGAATGCTTCCAGCACCTTGTTGAATCTATGCCACCAAGAATTGAGGCAGTTCTGAAGGCAAAGGGGGGTCCAACCCGTTACTAGCATGGGGTACCTAATATGTATGTATATGTATATATATATATATATATGTGTGTGTGTGTGTGTGTGTGTGTGTGTCATATGTAATAAATCCAGTTATATCACATGTACATCATCAAATTTATCACTTGGCTCATCTGTGTATAAAACATTAATTTTATTGTGATGGTTTTGTATAATAAGTTATATTTCATGATTTATAGACTTCATAATGACTCTGTAATGTGATGGGCCGATTTTTTTATTCTGAGTTAAAGTTAATCTACTGATGCTATGAAACAGTCGGTCTGTGTCCAAGTGATGAATTTATCTTTATTTTAAAAGTCTGAAAATGAGAACATCATGGTTGTTGTTGTGATAGTTTACATTGTGACCAGTCTAACTAGGGAGTACCAATATGGCAGCCGGTGGCTTCCTCTCCACTGTCGCTACAAGCATGCTTAGTGTGAGGGATTGCTGAAGAGTCAATGAGTCGATGCAATCAGCTGGTTTTCCTTAGATAGAAAACTTTGAATCAATCTGACTGGATGATCTGGTTGATCTGGATCTATAAAGTGACCTGAGATGACATGATGTGAATTGGAGCTATAGAAATAAACTGAATTATTGAAAAAGAAAATGTTACCTCTGAACTTCTTGGGAGGATTCTCCAAATCCCCAGCAGCTGGTTCCACCACGCAGCGGTCATCCACCAACCTGCAGAGAGGAGACCAGCAAAGGTCAGTCACTGTTTCTACTGGCCAGACCACAAAACCATGAGGCTGCTGTAACCAGGCCGTCTGCGTGTGTCGCAGTGAACACAGATATGCCCCGCCCCCTTCCCCAGACACTCTGCTGCTCCTCTCCAGAATTGTAGGTGAGCGCAGACAGGAGGCCTCTGATTGGTCAGATCTCCATCCGCTGTACACTATGGGTATTTCCTGTTTGGTTCCTTACCGGCTTGTTCTGTTTGTCTGACCGCCATTGTGGAAAACGCCTGGTGAAGATGGAGCAGCTAGCAGAGCGAGGTGAGCGAGAACGCTGGGACCCTTTTCCCACCTGGATCCCCGCTCTTTTTGGCCCTCATGTCCCTCCATTGTCATACAAACTTGCCCCCACTTCCTCATCGGCCGTATCTAGACCCACAGCTGGTTCCTGATTGGCCCTCTGGCGTTCTGGCGTGGAATAACAGCGCAGACCACGCTTCAATATTGGACATAAATCAAAAATATCTGCGACACGCTGCTGGACGATAACCAGACCTTTAGCCTGCAGACCCCAAACAGCCAGGAGAACAAGGGTCAACCTTTTTTTAATTCCAGTTTTACTGATTTCAGTCTCTCTGTGCTGAGCCAATCGGAAAGAGTCTGCTCTGTGTTGCCCTTAGCAACAGCATTTGATTGGCCACTCACAGACCAATAGAAATGCTGTTCCACCAAGAAGCATAGAAATCCCCCCCCCCCAGAGTTTAGTTAAAACCTTAAAAACATTATATTTTAAAATATAAAAAGGTAGATTAATTTAGACTCAATCTCTGCATGCGCACAAATTACTCAACATTTTTTTTTTATTATTGTTTCAAAGTTACATTTTTAAATTTTCTATAATACTGGAACAAATGTTATCTCCATGGTAACCTAAAGCCATCTTTACGGACGTGGCAGGAAGCCAGGGTACCCAGAGAGAACCCAGACCTGCTCAGGAAGAACATGCAGAAAGACGCCATGATGGGATTCAAGCCCACAACCTTCTGCTTAATGGCCACACACAGGGCCGATGGGCAGAAGTCCAAAGTCACCATGAGGGAAGGTTCTGGAAAAAATGGAAGGCCGTCGCCACGGCAGCAGAAAAGGTCCTGGAGAAACTAGGAGGCCGTCGCCACGGCAGCAGGGAAGGTTCTGGAGAAACTAGGAGGCCGTCGCCACGGCAGCAGGGAAGGTTCTGGAGAAACTAGGAGGCCGTCGCCATGGCAGCGGGGAAGGTTCTGGAGAAACTAGGAGGCCGTCGCCATGGCAGCAGGGAAGGTTCTGGAGAAAACTTGAGGCCGTCGCCATGGCAGCAGGGAAGGTTCTGGAGAAACTAGGAGGCCGTCGCCACGGCAGCAGGGAAGGTTCTGGAGAAACTAGGAGGCCGTCGCCATGGCAGCGGGGAAGATTCTGGAGAAACTAGGAGGCCGTCGCCATGGCAGCAGGGAAGGTTCTGGAGAAAACTTGAGGCCGTCGCCATGGCAGCAGGGAAGGTTCTGGAGAAACTAGAAGGCCGTCGCCACGGCAGCAGGGAAGGTTCTGGAGAAACTAGGAGGCCGTCGCCATGGCAGCGGGGAAGGTTCTGGAGAAACTAGGAGGCCGTCGCCATGGCAGCAGGGAAGGTTCTGGAGAAAACTTGAGGCCGTCGCCATGGCAGCAGGGAAGGTTCTGGAGAAACTAGGAGGCCGTCGCCACGGCAGCAGGGAAGGTTCTGGAGAAACTAGGAGGCCGTCGCCATGGCAGCAGGGAAGGTTCTGGAGAAAACTTGAGGCCGTCGCCATGGCAGCAGGGAAGGTTCTGGAGAAACTAGGAGGCCGTCGCCACGGCAGCAGGGAAGGTTCTGGAGAAACTAGGAGGCCGTCGCCATGGCAGCAGGGAAGGTTCTGGAGAAAACTTGAGGCCGTCGCCATGGCAGCAGGGAAGGTTCTGGAGAAACTAGGAGGCCGTCGCCACGGCAGCAGGGAAGGTTCTGGAGAAACCAGGAGGCCGTCGCCATGGCAGCAGGGAAGGTTGTGGAGAAAACTTGAGGCCGTCGCCATGGCAGCAGGGAAGGTTCTGGAGAAACTAGGAGGCCGTCGCCACGGCAGCAGGGAAGGTTCTGGAGAAACCAGGAGGCCGTCGCCATGGCAGCAGGGAAGGTTGTGGAGAAAACTTGAGGCCGTCGCCATGGCAGCAGGGAAGGTTCTGGAGAACATGGCTAACCTTCTGCCTTTCTGTCAGTGAGACTTTCTAAAGTCAGGATGAAGATGAACAACGAGGCATGTGACTGGAACGTTTTAGTGACCGAAGGTTGCCATAGAAACCAATTGAAGCAGCCTGGCTTCGTCAGGAGGACCCGTAATTTAAAGTGGGAGGAGACATGTTTTCAGCCAATCAGCAGCGAGCTGATGACATGACAGAACCCAGCCTCTGTCATGTGATCAGCTCCGGATGTGAGAACTGAAACTGAAGGCGGTTCCGTCGTCTGAGCACAGGAAGCTGCTCTGAGGCCGTCTGATGGAAGCTGTGGTTAAACTGGTACTATTTATAGAGATGCCTTTCTAGAGCCGCTCCGCTAACCATGGACCTTCTGCTGCTAGGCTGGAGCTATGGAGCACAGGAGGGATTGCTGAAGAGGCAATGAGTCGATGCAATCAGCTGGTTTTCCTTAGATAGAAAACTTTGAATCAATCTGACTGGATGATCTGGTTGATCTGGATCTATAAAGTGACCTGAGATGACATGATGGGAATTGGAGCTATAGAAATAAAATGAATAGAATTGGATCTATGTTTGTTCTTTTCCCTTCTCCTTGAAGAACCATCCAGGCAGTTCTTTCCTCTGTGTGGAGCGAACACACAGCAGGTCCAGAACCAGGTCCGGAACCAGCTCCGGAACCAGCTCCGGAACCAGCTCCAGAACCAGGTCCAGAACCAGGTCCGGAACCAGCTCCGGAACCAGCTCCGGAACCAGGTCCGGAACCAGGTCCAGAACCAGCTCCGGAACCAGCTCCGGAACCAGCTCCAGAACCAGGTCCAGAACCAGGTCCAGAACCAGGTCCAGAACCAGGTCCGGAACCAGGTCCGGAACCAGGTCCAGGATCAGGTCAAGGACCAGCTCCAGAACCAGGTCCAGAACCAGGTCCAGGACCAGGTCCAGAACTCAGGGCAGACTCCCACCCTGAAGCTCCATGCAGCAGCAGGTCAGACCCCGATGGGGGAAGGAGCTGCAGAGACCAGGGCTGGTCTGGATGGTTCAAAGGTCTACAAACCATCTGGTCCTCATTGGGTCCCATCTGAGGTGAGAACAGTAGAACAATAATAGTGGACAAAGACTGGAAAGAGTTGAGATCTGAAGGACCATCAGCCCTCCACCACCGTGCCCGGACACTGGTTGCCTCAAACAGGGCTGATCTTCGAGGTCAAACATCTCTGGATTGGTTTCATCCAGGCGTTCTGCGTCTCACTCAGCTGCAGACCTTCATCCTGTCCTCATCTTGTTCTCCCCTTCCAGACGGCCAGACCTGTCCAGGTTCATGACCTTTGACCTTTAACCTGCGAACCTGTAGCATCTGGAGCAGGTTTCCTGCTCTGACCTTAGGCTGGATCTGCTTTTAGGTGACAAGAACATCTGAAGCAGCAGAAGCTGCTCCTCTGAGGTCAGTATTGTAACGGTGAAGGACGGAGACGTGCGGAGGAGCAGCGGTGGATGTGGAACAGCTCTCATTGGTTAACATGACAGGCCCGTACCATGATGCAGGTGAGCGGGGGGTGATGGAGGATGTGGGAAGAAAAGAGCTGCTGACAGCGAGGATGAGGAGGAGTCACCAAATGTTCACCTCCATTATTTTATTTAGAGGAAACCGCAGCCTGTAAACAAATCAGGAGTCTGCAAATTATGATGCAAATGTCTCCCAGCCGAGTTCCTGTGGATCATCGGCCGACATGTTGCTTCCTGTAACCCTGAAGAGACTGAAAACCTGTTTGTTCTTCACCTGAAGGCATGTTGAGCCCTCAGCCTGCTGACAGACTGTCTGCTGTGGTGGGGTCTGCAGACACCCCCCCCCCAGTCACTCATCATTACCTCTTCTGTCTCCCTTCTTCACATTCCAGTCCTCTCTCGCTCTAATCCTCCTCCACTCATTACCTCGGCGCCTAGAAGGAGCTCCCCTCTCAGATCAGCCAATCAGCTGCCTTGTCTGCCTCCAGGTGTGTGTCACCTGCTGATTGCTCCATTCACTCTCCCTCAGGTGTGTTTATTCAGACTCTATTCATCAGTCGGGTCCAAACGGCAATAATTAGCAGGAAAAACAAACTCTGTCACACATGAGCAGAACCATGCAGGTCCGTTAGCTCGTTAGCATCAGACTCCATCATCCCCGCTAAGGTGAGACCACCAAGCAGGTTCAGGTGAGGGGGGACTGTTCCACATCTCCTTCAGAGAGCAGGAAGCCTTCTGCTGCTCTGATGTTCCAGAGAAAGGTCTGCAGAAATAGAACCCTTCATCTCCAGAACCTCCCTGTTGGGTCCAAACCTGGAGAAGCTTGCTGACTCATCTTCTGGGCCCCCAGAGGTCCAGCAGGACCTTCTGCACCGCTGACAGTTTCAGCCTCGGTGGTGGTGAGGGAACATCATCAGTCTGCAGGCCAGGCGCTGTCTGTCTTTCATATGGGGCCCCTGAGGACCTGCTGGGCTCAAAGTTCTATCAGGTCCTCGTACTTCGCTCCCATCCTCTGTCCACCACTGAGTTCACTGCCTTTACGTTAAAAGCTGCTAATAACTGTGTTAAATGAACATTTCAGGGCTGAGGACCTGACCTCCAGGTTTTTTGCAGACCAGCTCAGTAAGATCGTTTCTTATTCAAATCATCTCATGGTCAATCTCTGCTGCTTTCTGCCCCATAAATATGGGACTCCTCCCAGCCGAGCGACGCTCCGCCATGTTTTCACCAGTTAAACAAACCACCAGTCCATAAATCTATTGGAGGAATGGT